AAGGTGCAATGTGCTTACTGGGGTCACAGCAGGGAAGGTGACCCTGGCCAAAGTAGTCTGTGAGGCTTTTTTTTTTTTTTTTTTTTTTTTTTTTTGAGACAGAGTTTCTCTGTGTAGCCCAGGCTGGCCTTGAACCCAGAGACTTGTCTGCCTCTGCAGGAGTGCTGGGACTAAAGGCATGCACCCCCACCATCCAGCCATCTGTGAGGCTTTTAAGCAAGCCAACACAAAGTTCCCTCCCCAAAGATCCTCAGAGCTCACAGGGGGCTCCATATCCAGTCAGGATGCTCACTTTCCCTGACGGCTGAGCTCCTCTGGCCAAGTCAGGCTCAGCAGAGCCTCTGCACTGGCTCACCACAGGTGGTCTTCTGCACCCCTGCTCAGAAGGCTGAGTCCAAGTGTGGGGCTCTCCCACAGCACCCACTGTGCCCAGAGAACAGCGGTTTCCCAGACTCGGGAAGCAGGAGCGAGTCGGCGTTGAGCAGCCGGGGCTTCACCAGTTTTTACCGGCTGGGGGGGGGGAGGGGGCTGACTGAGGAGACACTGAACACCGAGGCTGCCGCCGCCAGCTGGTGCAAGTTTTATTGAGACAATGTACAAACAGGCCATGGAAACAAGGGCTTTGATGCTGGGACCAGTAACGTAAAATGGAATACAAAAATAAAAAGGCACTAATCTGTTAAGAAAAGACACTCAATGTATTCTAAGAATATAAGTCATTTAATACTGTTAATTTTATAGCACAAAATAAAACAAGCTATGATCCCCAAAAATAATTTTAAAAGCTTACACAGAAAATATTATTGCCTGACACTTATGATCTTTAAGTTATACACGTCAAAAGAGTTTTATGTCGTTTTAAAACACACAGTGAAGACCGTCTAGAAGCAAGGCCACTGATCTCCTGTCTCAGAGAACTGTCCTCCTGATCTTCTAGAATATACAAGCAGCTCAGTGTCCACGCTCACAGCAGTTACCAGGGATGTGGTTCTCTGGTCCCGTGGTGAGGAGTCCACAGAAAGCATTAGTCTTAGGTACTGTGTTAAAACAATCAAGAATCCACTCATTTTAAGAGGTTAATGAACATAATATTAAAAGATTAAATTATAAACACCTAGAACAAAAACACATCATCCCTTTAAAAAAAAAAAAAGCTCATTATTCTTCTGAGCATAAGTTCCAAGAGCAGTGGCCATCAGTCTTGGCCCATCTTGTCTGTAAACAGCTGTAGAGGAAGGCTGGCACAGCGCCAGGAACCTGCAACTCCAAGGGGGGCCCAGAGTCTTTTCCGGAGAGCAGAGGCTTCTGAGTCTGGATGACCTGCGACAGCTGGATGACCTGCGACAGGTGTGTCGGGGCAGCGCAGGGGTGGCCGGCGTCTTCAGCGCGGAGGTCCTGCCTGGGAAACGGCCTCTAACCTAGCGGTCTCTGCCCTGAGCACCTGACCGAGTCCTTCTCCCACAGCAGCCACAGCGAGAGGGCTGTCATCCCAGCACTTTCTACAGCACAGCAGAGCAGACCATGGAACATGCCGGTCACAGAAGGAGCCACCCCGGCTCACATTCCCACAGGCGTGGGACCCAGGCAAGACGCCACTGTCTATCAGTGTGAAAGGGAAATTTTTCCTGATTAAGAAACTGACGAGCTTTTAAGTCAGGAAAGGAAATGACTACTTTCGGCACATGTCCTGAGAGTTCAGAACTGAAGTCTTTATTTCCAGCTCTGGATTTCAGAGAGCTGTAGAAACATTTACATGGGCCAAATTAACTGATTTCATGAACCAAACTCCAGGCTTATGGGACATTTTGATCCTGAATCTACATGGAGTCTTGCTGGTCAACAGACTTGAGAAGGGAAATCCTATTCTCAAAAATGGCCGCCTGCACTGAGCATGCCGCTATCATCAAAAGGCACCGAGCCCTTCAGTTAAATGTAGTTTTTAAAAGACCTTAAAAGCTGGGTGTGGTGACTCAAACCTTTGTAATTTCAGCCGAGGCTGGGATGAAAAGTTCAAAGCCCGCATGGGCAATTTATGGAGATCCCATCTCAGAATTTGAGAAAGAGCTCAGTGGTAGAGGGCTTCCCCAGCATGTGTAAGGCAAGAGGTTCTCGCCCCAGTAATGATCCCTCAGGGGTCGTCCTCTGAACAAGGCAGGTATTCAGCGCACGTATCGAAAGGCCTAGGGCTGAACTGGGTCACTAGCCAGAAGGCAAGTATTGTTGTAGGCAGAGTTTGGGGCCCACTCAACAGATCTGGCTAAAAACGGTAGCTTTCAGAGATAGAAAAAAGTTGACCTTTACCACTTTTTTCTGGAAAGCCACAGACAGGGAGACATGATAGTACCCCCAAGCCCCAAATGACCATTTTGTCACATGAACATTCTTTAATATGGCACTTATCAGCCTGATTTAAAGAGAAATGGCTCAGCAGCTAAGAGCACTTGCTGCTCTTACAGAGGACCCCCGGTTCAATTCCCAGCCCCCACATAGTGACTCCAGCTCCAGAGGATCCAACCCTCTCTTCCTGCCTCCTCAGGCACGGCACCCATGCGATGCACATGCACACATGCAGGCAAAACACCCACACACCTTTACGGGGTGTTTCTGAAACAGGCTCTGTTTGTGGGCCTGTTGTCCTGTAACACACTACACAGACCGGGCTAGCCTTGAACTCAGGCTGGCCTTGAACTCTGAGATCTGCTTGCCTCTGCCTTTCTGAGTGCTGGGATTAAAGGTGTGTGCCACCATGCCCAATATACACAAAATTAAAAAGAAAGTCTTGAAGAGAAATAAATATAGTGGACAAATGCTTGTGTTAGTTTTTGTCTGCTGAATGTATTCTCAGTTCTCACAGCCTAAGAGCCTCCAGAGCCAGGGCCACAGTTACAGCTGTTCTGTAACCACTGGAGCTGCTCACTACGTCACTGCTACATATCTCGGTCTGCTTGGAGTTCTGTGTGGAGGCGTGTCCTCATCAGGGTCCAGCTGAAACACAGCATACTACAGAAAGGTTCTAGAACTCAGGGTTGCCACGTGCAGATGAGGGGCAGACACACGTTGTACCAGCTGGCTTGCATGTTGGCTCATGGTATATGGGTTAAGGGTTCCAGAGCCTGCCTTTTCTTGGTTCAGGAGCACTGTGTTCTGTTCCACTTAGGCTGTGGAACCAAACAGACAGGACTACCACTTTCAAGCTGCCTGGACAGGCTGGGTCTGGACAGGAAGAGCTGACAGGACTCTGTGGGGACTCACTTGAGTTCTTAAAGGGGGTGTACTTATTCAAACGCTAGACAGAACTGACCAAATGCTCCACCCTTTCTGCTCCTGTCGGTAGCAACAGCCACAGGGTCCCCAGACCACCGGTGGTTCACCCTGGTGCTTCCAGGCTGCACCCAGCACGGCACACCATAACTGCTGTGTGTGTGTGTGTGTGTGTGTGTGTGTGTGTGTGTGTGTGTGTGTGTGTGTGTGTGCACTGTTTGCCACACGGCACACAAGGTATCGTGGCAACCAAAAGATAAAGGCCTCTACTTCAGGGTGTCTTTTTCATATTCTTTAGTTACGTACAGCAGCTTCAGTTTGGAAGCTCCGAGACATGTATTGTTCCTTAGACTATCACAAAAATCCAACCTACTATTTAAAAATCTGTTCAGAACACACAACTCTAATGAATTAGTCTTCCAAAACCAAAACTAAACAAAAGAAAGTGGAAACAAGCCAGACTGCAGGAGTTTGGACAGAACTGTCTGGAGTTTACTTCCTCTGTCGTCCAAAGAAAAACAAGTCGGTAGCAAAGCCACTGCTCTGTGGACCAGCAACAGCAAGAGCTTGCCGAGGCTAGCCCTCTCCGTGTGGACTGTCAGCAGGCTCACACAGAGTCCGTCTCCAATACAGACGAGGCAGTGATGAGAAGGAAGCCCCTCCTGTGTTCAGTTCTACTGTGTGCTTCCCCAGGTTCCAGTTTACAATCCAGAAGAACGCTAGGACCGCTACTCTGACAGGATGACTATGATACAGATGCCAAGAGGCAGCTGCTGGAGGCATTCCAAATGTGCAGGAGACCCAGGGGATGGAGCCGGCCACCAGCAGCTCGCTGTGACTTGCATGTGAGAGTGCCTCCCACTTCAACGGAGACTAGGACAGGCAGAACAAGGCAGCAGCAGGGACGGCAACAGCAATCACTCGTTGTCATCTGGGTTTTGAGGGTCAAAGATTTTAACATGTGTGAAAGGGAAGAGCCCTTTGCGCCCATTCACCTCGCCTTCCCACTGGCCATTTATATTCATCCTCGTGACTTTCACAATGTCACCAACCTGTAGGGATAAAGAAGACACAATCAGCATCACTGTGCAAACAACAAAAAGACAGTTTACATTAAATCACAAATAGTATCTACCCAAAGACGAAGACTAACCTTTCCTTCTTCAGTGTTTGGACCTGAAAATCAAATGCTACAAAGACACAGGACACCACCAGCGCACCCAGGACACCTCTCAGGTGGCAAGCATTTGTGAAGCAGCTTCTGAGCCCGCAGCAGCCGTCCCCCCAGTGGTTACGCATAAATGAACACACATGGGCATGTTAAGCTTCACAGAAGGTCAGCCAGGCCTGGCACTCACAGTCCCAGCACACAGCCTGGGCTCACTGAGATGCTGTCTCCAAGTAAGAAACCATACTGCTTTGACGGTGTATTTATCAGACTGGAATGACACAGATGATCAGCATGGACTCCTCACAGCAATAACACACATCTGTGAAGCATTTCATACTAAAAGACCACAACCGCCGCCGCCACCACAAAACAAACCAGTGCTGGCGAGATGGTTTAGTGGGCAAAGGTACCAAAGAACTTGCCATGCAAGCGTAAGGCTCTGAGTTTCATCTCCAGAACACATGAAAAAAGGCTAACCATGGTGGCATGGAGCTGTAAATAGAGCTGGTAGGGCAGAGAAAGGTGAATCCCTGGCAGTCTAGTTCCAGGGTCACTGAGAAACCCTGTCTCAAAATACAAGGTGGACAGTGCATAGACAACAGCACCTGATGTTGACCTCTGACCTCCTAATGCACAAAACACAATGACAAACGTGTGTGTGAGGGAAGGGAGGGAGAGAGGAGGGAATCCGCTCACTTCAATTCACAGGGGTGGAAATTCTATCAGCAACATCACCTCACCATGGTCCCTAAGCATCCATGACACCACCCTGAGCTGTCCCTGACTTTCTACGGGACAGTCACTGTAGGGTGGGGTGCAGGTGGGGGACAGGGTCTTATTACATTCATAACTCAGGCTGGCCTGCCCTCGGTCCCAAGTGCTGAGCCTACAGGTGTCAATCACAACACGAGGCTTAGCTCCGAGGACAAGGGCACCTATCACCAAGCCTGACAACTTGAGTTCAGTTCCAGGACTCACGTGATGCAAGGAGAAAACTGACTCCTGTAAGTTGTCCTGACTGCTACACCCCCCCCCACACACACACATACACACTCCAAATGTAATTAAAGACAAACAAAAATGCAGGCTGTAGAGCTCCATCTACTGCTGGAGGACAGGCACCCAGAGTTCAGAGATTAGTTTGCTCATCTAGTAAAAGCTGGGAATTTTATCATCCAAGAGTTCTTTGCCAGGCGGTGATGATGCACACCTTTAATCCCAGCACACGGGAGGCAGAGGCAGGTGGATCTCTGAGTTCGAGGTACAGAGTGAGCAGCCCCAAAATAAATATAGATAGATAAATAAACAAAACAAAAGAGGTTTTCAAAGCATTTTGGGGACCCAGAGAGCTATGGGGAGGTATTTTCAGGGCCCAACAAGTGTCTGATCAGGATTTTCAAAATTGTATTTATATACTCAACACAAAAAGTATATCCAGAGGTGTGCTCCCACTGACATACTTCCATGTTCTGACAATCTGCTTCTTATGCTCTTTAGGAGGCTGGCTTAAAAGAAAGACAATCTACCACCCTTGCGACAAAATAAAGCTAGGAACCGCTGACACTGAGCTGGTGCAGCGCGTGTTGCCGAGAGTGCGTGTTGTCTGTGCTGCTCCCCGGCTCGCCTGCCCACTGTAATTTCTATAAAGACGGGGACTAAACGTAAGTCTCCCTGGGTCTGCAAGGACAGCTCAGCCATGAACAAAACGTGCTCTTCCAGAGGACCCAGGCTCAATTCCCAGCACCACATGGTGGCTCACAACGGAGGCTCACAACCATCTATAATGAGATCTGATGCCCTCTTCTGGCATGCAGGTAGACAGAATATTGCATACATACGTAAATAAATATTAAAAAACCACAACATAACAACAGTTATATATATTATATACATAAAGTACTGAGTCAACAACACAGAATGAAAACAAGCCACTGCTTCTGCTGAAGGAATGTGGACCTATCAAGATGGTCAGAGTAGGCTAGACAGAGAGTCCTTCGTATGACTACAAACAGTGCCATCTGCCATGCCAAGCAGTTACTCTATTACAGAGCTATAGACACGTCGCCCTTTACTGTTACTAATATTAATTTTTATTGTTTTAATTGTGTGTGGGTATGTGCACATGAACATGGGTGCTTACAGAGCTCGGGGTGTCAGATCCCCCTGGAGATGACAAGCACCTGACATGAGGTCCTCTACAAAAGCAGTAAGCACTCTTAACCACAAAGACTTGAACAGATACTACTCCACAGAAAATACAAACAGTCAATATGTAAATGAAAATATGCTCAGTAAGGAAAATATCAAAGCCACGAGGGGCTGGCAAGTGACTTGGTGGGTAAGGTACTGGCTGTGCCAGCCTGGGGGCCTGATTCCACCTTCAGAACCCACGAAAAGGTGGAAGGAGAGAACTGACTCTACAGAGTCGTCCCCTGTCTGCCACACGTACACAGTGGCATGTATGTGCCTACCATTCATCAGGCACGCACACATGCACACACCAACCACAATAAAGCCAGGTATGGTGGTCTTCAAGCACCACCCTACCCCAGCACACAGGAGGCCAAGGTAGAAAGACAGCCAAGTCTAATGTCAGCCTGGGCTATGAATGAATGTGAGACTACCTTAAAAAAAAAAGAAGTCTCAGGGCTCTGCTGTAAGACTGAAAATTACCAAATCAATTTCAGAATATTCTCATCCTATTTACATATGAAGAAAAACCACCTCCCCCTTTTGGCATATATGTCCATGTGCATGTGTGTCACACATATATATACATGGAGGCCTGAGGCCAATCTTGGCTGTCATTCCTCAGGAGCCATCTACTTTCATTTTGGGATGGTGTTTCTCACTGGGAGGTCACCAATTAGGCTAGGCTAGCTGGTAGGTGAGCCACGGGTACTAAGTATTTCCTTCTCCCTAGCACCACGATTATAAATGTACGCACCGTTCCTGGCTGTTCACATGGGCTCTGAGGAACAAACCCAAGTCCTCACGCTAGTGTGGCAAGTGCTTTATGGACCAGCTATCTCCCTAAGCAAACAAAATCCTCTGAAGAACAGTTCATTCTGATTTATAAGCAATGACATTGTGATTTGCCAATAGAAAAATTTTTTATAAAAAATGTGAGAAGCAGAGGCAGGCAGATCTCTGAGAGTTCCAGGCTAACCAGGGCTGCATAGTGAGCCCCTGTTGAGATGACTCAGCAGAAAAAGGTGCTTGCCTGACAGTTGAGCCCCATGCCCAGGACCCACTTGGTATAATAAGGAAGAACACGGACTCCCCCAAGTTGTTCTTAGGCACACAAACCAATACATGTAATAAAGAGCTGAGCACACTCTCCCCCCCCCACACCATCCCCTGACTTCAGCACCTGGAGGATTTCCTAAAGCTCTTTGAGGAGTGATGGGTCTGCGGATCCATCCCCAGGATTCTAGCCTGAGAGGCTGATGCAGCAGCAGGACTGTTTACCGGGAGCCCACCCTGGGCTCTAGCACGAGCCTGTACTGACCGACACCTCTATTCTTTTGGCAGCTGGGTATCACAGTATTTATGTACCCCAGAGTGGTCTGGAATTTACCATGTAACCCAGGCTAGCCTTGGACTACTTCAGCCTCCAGAAGACCGTGACTACAGGTGTGTATCAATGTCCAGAGAACATTCTTGCCTTTGACACGGTGTTGTGATCATGGGGAAAACAAGCATCTTTGGCAGTAAAGAAATAGAAAAAATGAGAATTTCTAAAAATTAGTTGCAAGAACTGATGTAACACTCTAGAAAGACAGAAGTGTAAGACAGGTACCTGTGTGAATAGCTTCTATACTAGGGCTCAAAACCAGCCTGGGCAATACAGCAAGACCTACTTCAAGAACAGGTTAAGAGTTCGTCTGCTCAGTCCCCATGGAAAATCCAAAGGGTGATTCCACGGGCCCTGGGCACTCCGGCTCTTAAGAAGGTGAGCACCAGCCTGTGGGTACTGCAGGAGGGAAAGCTTCCGCTCCTGGAACGTGACAGAGAGGAGGGGAAGCAGCCTTACATCAGTAAGTCGTGACCTCATCTGGATCTCCAGGGCTGAGTCAGGTGCTTTTTGACGAACATGATGGAGGACCAATACAAGGTGGATATAAGCTACAGGCCACCCCCATTTGGATGATGATCTCTGAGACTGAAAATATAACCAGTGCTACCTTGAGAAATGGTTTTCTCTCATCAGATCGTTTGCCACCAAGGGCCAATAACCTCCCCACCTTGTAAAATGTGTATGCACATCTTTTAATCTCAACCTTCCCCCAATCTGGTAACACCTCCTCCCAGAACTTGGCCTATAGTAGCTGACTCTTTCCCTCTCTCCTCTGTACCAGTTCTATTTTTAAAGTAGCCAATTGCAAAAGACCATGACAGACCCCAGCCAATGGGGAAAAAAGTTACCATCTATGTTAAATAAAAAACGAAGTGAACATCCTGCCCCAGCTACGTGCTAGCCTGGACTGGGTTCTAGCCCACCCTATATACAAAAAGCGCTGCCTTGCTGAGCGGCTTCTGCTTTGTGTGTGTTCCTTTGTGGGACACTGAGATTATTCTAGGACACTGAAACTTCATTATGCTTGGCACGCTGCTTCATCTCAGCAAGCAAAAGCGGTGAAAAGACTGTTATTGTAAGCTACACACGGTGCACAGTGCTGTGAAGCAGGAGAACCCCTCCAAGTGTAAGGCACTTCTGGAAGGGAGGGACACACACACACATGCTGAGTGAACTCAGGGTTTCCTAGCTACATAGCAATATCCTGTCTAGAACAAACAAAACAAAACAAAGCCAGAACACTGTTGTTGTGAATTTAATTCTAACCAATGAAAGAAAACCAACTGACGAAACAGAATTCT